TCTCTCTCTCTCTCTCTCTCTCTCTCTCTCTCTCTCTCTCTCTCTCTCTCTCTCTCTCACACACACACACACACACGTGAGCGCGCGTGAGTGTCGTAGTGTATATAGCGATGTTCTAGCGGAAGATTCATCCGATTTTGCTGATCGATGGATTCATTCGATTTTGCTCATCGATGGAAGTAGTGTGAGGCCAGTCGCGGGGTTGGAGAATTACTTGTTGGCCGGTGGGTGCTCATCCTATCGATGGAAATCTCTCTCTCTCTCTCTCTCTCTCTCTCTCTCTCATGTGTGTCCTCCCTTGCACCCACAACAGATGATGGATACGCCATGGCAGGCCCTGTCCTTTTTGCCCCTGGGCCGTTTCGTGAGACGACAGCCTTTTACCCCCTGGCGAGTTTTTGTCTATCCATGCGAGACCGTACGCCCTGGCAGGCCCTGCCCTTTTTGCCCCTGCACCGTTTCGTGTCGGCGCGCGCCGTGCCTGGCTGGCCCCGCCTGTGGGCAGTTTCTCGCGACTGTGTGTGACACCGGTTTTCGTGTTGGCACACGATGTGCCTGGCTGGCCCCGCCCGTGGACAGTTTTCCTTTGGCCCGCGATGTGATGCCGGTTTTCGTGTCGGCGCGAGCCGTGCCTGGCTGGCCCCGCCCGACCCTCAGTTGTCCTTGGGCCCACGGCTGTGTCCGACGGACGGACTGTTGTATCTTTTAGTTGTGTAGAGAAAAGTTGAAAAACATCCGGCCAACAAATCATGCCCTTCGTATTCGACATGGTTTACCCCGTTAACAACTGGTCAAACTCGCATGGTTCACCCCGTTAACAACTGGTGCAAAAAGGGATGTGAAGAAGTAAAGTAAACATGGTCGGTTCCTAGACTCATTAATCCACATGGTTGAGAGTCGGGAGTTAACCCGCCAGTCAGGAGGACCCTTCCTTTTTGCCATTTATGAAGGGGCGATGACCTTGAGGTAGAATCATTTTTGAAGGGGCGATGTCCAGCTCCAGGTAAATTCAGAGTTATTTTCAGTCGTCTGGTTCCAATGGAATTCGAACTTAGTTCTGTATTTCGATTTTAAACAGTTCATGGGGGGTACCAACTGAGCTAGGCTTTTGCGGACCTCTGAACGCAATTTATCATGAATGAATGTAACTGCACGCAGGCAGGGCTGTGCAGCCACGAAAGACCTGTAGGTTAACCGGCAGACGTTGCTCACGTACTAGTGCTTCAGAGGCCAGAGAATGGACAATGCCATGGCATCATGCGCAAAAAGGCTGCTTTTTTTGTGGATGGGAAAAATAGGCATGATAACGTATGAAAACTGCCTCTATGAGGCCTAGGCATCATAACGTATGATGTTGGAAGCAGCTGCTGGTAACTTGGGTGGAGTACGGTTATGATGTCATTGGTGAAAATTACAATGGCGATGTGAACCATTTGAGGAAGGAGTAAAAGGAGAAGTAAAGGACGTAGAGGTTGAGATGGATCTTTTAAACCACCAGTACTTGGCCCAGGTATCGGCCGCGGGCGATTCCCGTTAACGCGCTGGTAGTTGCGCGCTTCGGAGCACCGAACCGCAATGGCTGGAAGCACCAGCCAAAATGAAAACGAAACGGTGCCCCGGCGGCTCGGCAAAACTTGGTGCGCAGGGGGTATCCCGGCTCGGCATCAAAAGCTGGGCCAAGTACTGGTGGTTTAAACTGCTACTCTTAAAATGTGGGGCATGAAGGGGCACCAGAGGCATCACAAGATGCCATACACATCGGTTTCTGAGGAGGGTATTGAAGTTTGTAGAAAGTGCTGTACACGGAAGGCGGTTGGGAAAGGGGGTCATGCAAGGGGAATGTTGTGTAGTCTGAGGGGGGTGCATCACAATATGCCACCCATTCAAGTGGAAACAGACAAGAGACTGTAAGGAGAGTTAGAAAATGTACATGGAAGGGGGTTGGGAAAGGGGAGTCTTGGAAATGCTGGAGCTCCTAATGGGGGGAAGTTTAGGGATGTGGCCAGTTGGAGTGTGGTCATAAGGTGATTTGTGTGAAGAAGTCCATGGGAAAGGCTTAAAAGGGGATGGTATGATCCTTTACCCACAAGGTAGAGGGGGTGGCCACATGAGATGCTATTCGGTCCGACAGTGCGTCTTTTGCGCTGCGTGCGATTCCAGCTTTCTGGTAGAGAGTGAGGGGGTGATCTTCTAGTGGCGATGTTTCCTTCTTGCTCCTTGGCTTGGTCTGGGGGCATCGTTGAACAGGTTGCAAAGTTGTCCTTCACACCACATGTAGTGCCGCTTCGGTACCCCGCTGTTGTCTGTCAGACATCAACACCAGGGGTGAAGTCCCACCGCCGGAGTTGAGTTTTCTCAACGCTGAGCTTTCTATCACGTGTGGCATGGTGGGAAGGAGCTCTGCCGTTGATGTATTGAGAATCTAAGGGTACCGAAATACAGGAGAATAACCTATTAGATTTGGTCATTTTGTAGATTTTTTCTTTGACGTGAAATCCGTTTTGTAGTATGCGTTGGCCCTTTTGGTTTGGGCGGGAAGCCATTTTCCATTGAGAAAACTACCCTACCGAGGGTAGGGTACATTTCTCAACTTATTTGCCTTCGTTTTTTTTTTTTTTTTTATAGATATCATTACCCCCTGAAACGGAGGAACTCTGACGGCTGTGTTTGGGTCTCTCGCATCGAACTCTCTTCCTTCTTCGGGCAATGAACGCATCTGGCCATCCAAGTTGTCCCTGTCCATTTTATGAATGGTGACCTCCTGTCCCCTCACCACGGGAAGTACCCTTTTTCCACGGAGACATTCACTCCGACTGTGCCAGACGTGTTTCGTTTCTCCTAGTTACTTCATCAAAAATAAGGAGAAAAGCTGTTTCTAGCGTTTTTTTTTCAGTTTTTTAATTTTTTGTTTCCAATTTATTAATGTCAAAATGGTGTCACACGGTTGCGTTTTCTAAACTAAACTTGGGCGGTGGGACTTCACCCCAGGTTGTGTTCCTACGTGCACTTTGTGTTACCCACTGCCAAATGTGTGGTTATACCGTTATAGGGAAACATACGAGGTTAAAGGGAAACAAATGTGAAGTTATAAGGAAACTGATGTGGTTCTGATCCTCTTAAAGATTCTGAAATTGCTTCCAGTGTGAAATTGCTTCCCACTGGAAGAACCTATCCATTAATAATTATTATATCAGCCACTCTTTGAATCCTCTCACTTTTCGCTGCGAAGTCCCAGTCAGGAAAAGTGACCTTTCGTCGAAAGGTGGGGCCCATGTTGCTGGTTGTCCCTTACTATGTTGTGTGGTGGTGATCTTCACTGGGGGGCTGCGAGGAGGATTGTGTGTTATAGTTGGTACAGTTGGTGGGCTGTAGATTGTGCGGTCAAACACTAGGCTGCAGTTAGAGAGCTCCTAAAACCCCTATTACCTAGGCTGGGAGATGTGATTAGCTCATTCTGGGTGACCTCATTGGGGTGTCATGTCAGTACCACTCATCCTGGAAGACCCCGGGAGTCTAATTACGTTCTCTCCCAAATCCCATTTGCGACAACGCACTGCAGTTTAGTTCGCCAAGTAGTGGCAGTGGCTGGTGCTACGATTCTCTGCAGTGGGAAAAATAACTGCTTGACAATCATTCTAGCCAAGCCATCCGGCAGCCAGTGGTCATTCAGAGAGTCCGGCCACTGCACATGACTCGCCAGACTTCGAAAATTCACACTGTGTGCTTCTCTGCACGAAGTTAGCAGGAGTTGGTTTTCGGGGAAGCATACCCTGGAGCCCTTCTTCAGCCTTGTGCACGTGGGGAAGCATGCAAATGCACCCTGGCCTTCGGCCCTCTGCCTGCTGTTGGTCAAAATCAGCAAGGCATTACTCGGAGTGGTGAAATACTACATGGGGGCAGGTCACCTATCGCATTGGGGACGGATGGCGAAGCGCTACATCCTATAGGTGATAGCGGGGAGATCCAGTCAAAATATTTTTTTACTGGAAGTCAGCGGACCCATAGTACCTGCTTAACTCAAAAGTTAGCTGGTAACAGCAAAGCAATGGCTGCTTCGCCAGTGGGGAACAAGCCTATTTGTATGAAGTACTATGAACATAAGAAAAAAGGGTCCTCGGGGCCGATCCAGCATGAAACGTCACTCGTACCTGGGAGTCAGGGCAACACCCCCCAGCAATTGACGTCAAGTTTCTACCGCGATCCTCGCAAACGACGCAAAGTAAACTCTCGAGGGACCTGCACCCAACCCCCTCGGAAAAGCACTGCCTACGACCCCAATAGGTGTGTGCAGGGCACAAATGCTTTTCTTGGTGCTAGGGGTGTGATATCCCTCCCAACTGCCCCAAATACAGAGCCAGTTATACTTTTATCAGTAATTTCTTTGTTATAGCTGTGTGCCGTGGAGCCACACGTGTTCGACTTCCAGACCTCCTGTGATCCTCCAGGCTTGTTTTTGTTTTTTACCCAGGAATAAACTTCAATAAAGTTACGGTATGACTGCACCATCATCCGGTATCCATTTTTACTCCTCGTGCGGTAGGTAAGGTCACCATATGACAATGGGCTTGGTATTGAATACATCGGTCGGTTTAGGTAGGCCCTGTGGAATTGTTTGAAGTGCCATCTGTGAATACATTGGTCAGTTTAGGTAGGCCCTGTCGAATTGCACATAGTGCCATCTGTCAGAAAGGTTTAGGCAGGTCCGGTCGGTTTAGGTAGGACTGTCATGCCATTTTGTGAACAAGGGCTCTGACTGTTGACGATGGGTGCTAAGGAATTTGTTCGATTCGTACTTCACATCTGTCTAGTATCGATGTTGGATGAGAGATGGTTAATGGAAGGCCAAAAATTCAGGGGGTTTTGCCGCAGCACCACAAGCAATGTTGTCAAAAATTTCGTGAACAAACAATGCAGGTTCATAATACAAATAAAACAAAAAAAAAACAGGCAAAAAAACAAACGAAAAAAAAAGTAAAAGACACTATAAAACCCTATTTGGAGTAGCTTTCGGAGTTTGCCAATTTGTTTCCGAAATTCGGTGTTTTTGCGAACTTTTTTGTTAGCGGTCCAAATGCATCGAAGCTGAACACAGATATATATACCCTAAAGCACATACATATCACGCACAAAAACAAACAACAAAAAAAAACACCAATTCGGGGAAATATGGCAGTTTCAGTGAAAAATCGCCTGAAAATGACACCACCTACTAACCATATGCGTTGTCGGATGTGTGTGGCAGAACTGAAACCGGCGTTGGAGCATAAAGTGCCATCTGTCAGGAAGGAATGTGTTGATTGGATTAAATACTGTGTTGAGACCAGCACGCGTGCAAATGTGCTGAAGATTCTGAAGGCCTACATCGACTTCCTCATTAAGGTGAGGGGGACAGAGATTTAGAAAAGGGCAGAAGAGTGAAATTGTGGATCTGGCAAAATATGCTCCCCTTTTCTGTCTTTTAACAAGGGAAATATGGACCTTATGGTGCTGGCTCGATCCTATTCTGGAGAGCGTCAGCGCAGTTCCTTTTCCACCAGCCTGGTTCCCAAAAGCCACTCCATTGATGTGTGCTGCTTATCAATTTCACTTGAGATGACCAGTTTCCATGGGTGTGATTTTCATTATTCCGCTGAAATGTCCTTTTAAACAGAAACTCTGCTTTGGGCGTTCGATCGAAATTTCCTGTACGATTTTCATAGTCGAGGTATTTCCACGACAGTTGTTGTGATGATTCCTCGTGGCACTGCCTCTTGCTTTTTCATTTCGGAAGCTCAACCCTGCAAGTTTCACTCCTCAGAGTGTCACCTTTATGAAGATTGGCACATGCTGAAGTGGGGTAAAAATGCGGCTGTGAGAGAAGTATGTTTTTGTTTGTGCCCTAAGTTTTGTTGAAGATGGGCACATGCTGAAGTGGGGTAAAAAATGTAGGATTCAAGGAGGGGCCTATGTTTTGTGGAAGATGCTCACGTGCTTGGCATTCTTCGCTGGCTCATAAAGACATTTTTAGATGGCAGGCCGGCAGCATTTATTTTTGCATGTCCCCCTGGAGCTTTACCTTTATGGACTTGAATTGTAGTATCTCTGAGACTGACTGTCACTCATTGGTGGCTGCAGGCAGTTGACGATAGTGCCCCTGACGTTCGTGATGCCTCATTTGCAACACTCGCTGCCCTGGCAAGGGTAAGTAGATGCCACGGTTTGGCTCTATGATTGCCATTCAAAATGTTTCTGGCCTTTGTTTTGTGGCCTTCATGTTCTTTATTATCGGGTCGATGTGTTGGTATTGTCATGACATGTAGAGGATCTGGCCTTGGGCTTTTGCAAAAACAACCCTGTGGGTTCAAATTTTAGATGCCTTGCTGGATCTCCCCATCGACCTCCTCCATGCACAACAGGCATTGCTGCACCTTTCTGATAATAACAGGATTCTCTAATAAGCCCCCCTTAATTGGAGACTTGGGATTTATGTAATACTTGTGAATTCAGAAAAAGGGATTTGAACCCTCAACCTGGGAAACACGAGGCGGATCAGATCTGGGGTTTCATGTGACAGTTTTCAGAATGGGTTCCATCAGGGAAGCAAAAACACGCTCGGCTTTCATAAAGTGTTTGTTGATTTAGGGGGGCTAGGAACATGGGGAAGGGAGGGCTGTAGAGAAGGTTATATGAGTGGGCCAACAGTGGTGCGACCAGTACGAGGCAGATCTGGGGTTTGATGTGTGCCAGTAGTTTTCAGAATGGGTTCCGTCGGGAAGCAAAAACAAGCTCGTCTTTCATATATAATGTTTTGTTGATTTAGGGTGGCAAGGCACATGGGGAAGGGAGGGCTGTAGAGAAGGTTATATGAGTGGGCCAACAGTGGTGCAAACAGTCAGTGATGTGTCATGTGAAGCTGTGACGAAGATCATTGATCGAGGTGAAGTGGTGATGCGTCGTGTGAAGTTGTGACAGAGTTCAATCGATTGTGAAGTGGTGTGCTGACGAGGTTAGATCTGGGGATGCATTTAGTGTGGGCACTCTTCGCTGTAGTTTTTTTTTTGTTTCGTTGTCAGGTTGGTGCTTTAGTCTAGTCTGGTGGATGAGGTTAGATCTGGGGGTTGCAAGGGGTTGCATGAAGTGAGATTCCAGTCGTTGAGACCTGATGTGGATACCCTTGGGATGGAAGGCTTCAGATCAGATGTGAAACATCTGCTCGAGCTCTTCTTTTCGTGGATGAGGTTAGATCTGGGGGTTGCAAGGGGTTGCATTAAGTGAGATTCCAGTCGTTGAGACCTGATGTGGATACCCTTGGGATGGAAGGCTTCAGATCAGACGTGAAACGTCTGCTCGAGCTCTTCTTTTTGTGGTGGTTGACGCACACGAGCCGAGGGTACGTGTATTGTGACTGTATATTTTATGCTGTTCCAAGCATGAACCACCTTGGGAAGGCCATGGATAAGCTTAATTGATTGTCGAGTGGTGTGTTGATGAGCTCTGCAAGAAAGAATGCTTAGCTGTCAGTGTGCGCACTGTTCACTGTAATTTTTTGTGTTGTTGTCAGGTCGGTGCCTGGGTGTAGTCTGGTGGATGCTGTTTTTCCAGCGATATTCGCCTCTTTGAGACCTGTCCTGAATGTATTCTGTCTGTGTATTTTACCCAGGCTGTAAGCATGAAGCCCCTTGAAAAGGCCATGGATAAGCTAGATGATGTCAAGAAGAAAAAGCTGAATGATCTGATTGCATCACTGGGCGGTGCTCCTGTCATTGGCTCTGCTCCTGCACCTGGTACGCGTACAACAACCTCTGTTTTGCCTTGTTATAAAGTGCCAGCACTTCAAATCCTTCTATGTTCTTTTGAAGCCTTCATGGTGTCCCAGTGTTTAGGGGAGGCAACTTTTAGGGTTCGACTCCGTTCGAGCCTGTGAGGTCCACTTTATATCCGGAGGGAGTCAATCCCGACATGGAATGCATCTCGTTTTATATTGTTTTGCCTCATTGTGAAAGTCTTCTATGTTCTTTTGAAGCCTCCCGGGTCTCCCATTGTTTAGCGGAGGTAACTTTCCAGGTCCACTTTATACCTGGAGGGAGTTAATCTGGCACGGTTGTCCCTCCCATATGGAATGCAGCTCAAGACAAGTGTGGGCTTAGTGAGCAAACAATGCCCTGAAAAAAAAGGAGAAGGTCCAGGTATCGGTACCGTACGTCATTGTGGACTTGTAATGCCCAAGTGTAGTCGGTAGTAAAGAAGGGTGCCATCATATTATCAACTCATTCTTGCGGAACATTACCAAGTGTGACTGTGGTCCTTTGGTACGGGTCCATAGTCAGGTGGCTTCTGTGACTGTTGTGGTACCAGCTACTTGTATTGTTAAGTCATTTTGAAACCGGGTCCCTTTTGTAGCAGTTCCAAGCACTGACCATACATCTACCCACTTGAGGCAAGTCGATCCACACACCTGTGGACAACCCTTGTAGACTCACACAGATCGAGGTAGAAAACAATATCCCAACGACTCTCCTCCCCTCCAATCACCTGAATGCCATCCACAATTATTATCCCATTTGAATTGAGCACCAAGTTTCACGTCCAACGAGGAATGTCGACAAGTAACCGCCAAAGAGTAGTGTCCAAGTTCTTCTCTCATGGTACTCCCGGATGTCTATAGCTGTTGCCTCCCACCAAGGTGGGCGCTGCCATCTGCAAGTGCCGCTGTCTTCCTCCCTCCGCAGTGGGATCAGACTGTAGCAGTGTGTTACTTCTGCACCGCACTGTAGCAGCGCGTCGCTTTACTGTAGCACCACAGTGTAGCAGCGCATCACTGTAGTGCTGTACTCCAGCAGCGCGTCACTGTAGCACCATACTGTAGCAGTCAGGCTGCCTTCCCCAAGTTGTGTTCAAACAGGCGGCTGACTGCCTAATATACTTTGGCCAGCCAGTGTGTTGTACCATTGGTCCCAGCAGCCAGGCCCAGTTATTGGCCGAGGGCGAACTAGAACTTTCTTTGGCACGGTTCCTTTTCCAGTCAGGCAAGCGAGACTCATTTTCCAGAGTCAGTGCAGCGCAATTTCCAAGGCAGTGGGCCTGAGTCGGTTACTTTCTCACACTCGCCCGCCTCGCCTTGCACTTTCCGGAAGGTTCAAGCACACTTTCCATTCTGGAAGAGAGAAGTCACAGGGCCCTTTTTGTGAAAACCCCAAAGAAAGACAAGTTGAAACAACTAAATTTGAAACAACAAGGGGAAAACTTAAAATCATGCCACACTGCACAACACACATTTACGACTATGGTGCACTCGCTGGTGCTGCAAAACAGTGGGTCTTCCCAGGGGAGACCGGTCTTAAACCACCACTCCCCCTGACACCCTGGAGGGGCGGTGACCGTGTGTCACCAGCAGGTCCGGTCCCACAATTTGAAAGCAGCAACTGTGGCGATTTTTTGTGCTAAGTTCTTGGGATTTTTTGAAAATTTGAGGATCCGCAGATCAGGTCGTGAACTTTCCAGGAAAAATATCAGAAGAATTAAAAATATCATTTTGACCGTGAAATGATCACCATGCCGATTCGGTGCATTTCCATTTTTGCCACTCTACCATGTGGAGGCCAACAGAAAAAGTACACCAACTTCAGTGATTTTTTGCATGCAGAGTAACGAGTGAAAAAAAGTAGGAAATTTTGAGGGCCCGTAGACTTCGTTGTGATCTTTTGGGGAAAAACATTTAGAAAAAACGATATTTTTACATTGTCACCGTGAAGTAAATTGTGGCGCTGGGCTACCAGCCAGGCTGCCCGAGCGGCCGTGCTGTGCAAGGATCAGGGCAGGGCCCAGAAGGGACAAAAAAAACTGAAAACAAAACTGTGTGCTGCAAAAAAAAAAAACTGAACAGCTTTTGCCTTAGGTCACAGCGAAATTCTTTACCAAAGAAAAAAAGAAATTAAAAATATTTTGTATTTTTTTTAAGTTTTAACTGAACAACTTTTTCCTCAGGGTCACATCAAAACTCTTTACCAAATTTAGAATAAAAAACGAAATTAGTATTTATTTATTTATTTATTTATTTATTTTGCCCCAGGCCACTCTGGTAGCCTAGTCGCGGCAGCAATTTGACACAATTTCCATTTTTGCCATTCAGCCAGTTCTCCATTCTATGCGACCTGTAGCGCTCATGAAACTGTGCTATCGGTCCTCTGAGGTTTTTTGGCATCCTTTACGATCCTGGTCATTTCCGAAGTGCAAATTCACAAGGAAAGACAATGCCACAAGAAGAAGAAGAAGAAGAAGAAGAAGAAGTACATCAGCAGGACCAATGGGAAATCCCCCTTCTCTCTCCACTTTCCTCCTCGTCTTCACCAATCTTATTCTTCTCCCATATATAATAATAATAACAATGAGTAGTTGAACCAGAATCATTTTCCGAAGTTCCCTCTTACTGCCGGCACAATAACAGGTCCACCATAGCCATGGCTTCCCCCTTCTTCCTCCTCTCACATGCCAAGGCTATGGCGCCCTACTAAGGGCTCTGCCCCCCTGTGCAAAGGGCAACAGAAAGCAGCTGTGGTCGCTGCTCATCAGGCCGCCATGCGTGACTCTGCCTCGAGCTTCCTTGGTGTGGCACTACCTCCCAACTGGGGCCTTCCAGATGCAGTGCCCGTCAAGGGGATGAAGATGGTGTCCACCATAGCCATGTTGGTACCTTGCCACTCTCCTTCTTGGCACTCCTCTTCCTCCTCCTCTGGCTGGGCTGCTCACCATAGCCAGACTGAGCGCCCAGCAGCTCTTCGTCCTACCAGGGAGCGTTTTGAGTCCGGCTGCTCGCTCAAGCAGTATGTCGTCCAACCTTGCACACCGCAAATGAGGACGAGCTTTTCGCTCTTCCTGGTGATATAGTGAGGCAGCAGCCTCCTGGGCAGTGACTTCCAGGCCTTTGTGGCCTCCCAGCAACCGGTACCTCTTCCCTTTCGGAGGGAAACATCATTGCAGGCTGCTGATATCGTCCTCTCAGGCCCTGGACCAGTACCCACTACTGGGTCTCTAAAAATGCCAACTTTTGTCGTCCAACCTTGCACACCGCAAATGAGGACGAGCTTTTCGCTCTTCCTGGTGATATAGCGAGGC